AGATGGGGCTACCGGCACACTTAACGTAATTAGACTCAGCTTGAACGTCCCAAAAGCGAGTGAAAGTGGCAGTGATGTGAATTACGTCAGAGGCAATGCCGAAAGTTAAGCAAAACAAGCATCTCCAAGACCAAAAGAAAAATTTTACTGGCTTAGCTCGCAATTTCGGAAGAGGTGAAGACTTCATCGAAATCTAAGCCAGTTGTGTTTCATTTCATTATGCATACTCGCAAAGATATGTTCATACAAAGTGTTTTTAAAGTGACTATTTTGGCGGTTGTTTTCGAGAATGTGATTGTTGCTCATTTGAACCATTTTTGTTTGTTTTTATCTTGCATTGATAGTGATTCCGGACACAATACGATGCGAATAATATCCGCATATTTTGTTTCATGCTCCAAATAAAGCTCTTCTAATTTTGGACGGACTTTCAACCTCATTACACACTCTTCTCAGCACACACTCCGAGCCTTTTAACAAAACGACAATTGCTAATAGAGATAACTGATTCGTGAGTTGTGTTCATCCTTTTTCGTTAAAGTTGATAAAGGAATGGTAGTTGATTTTTCCCACAATAATATGAGTAGATTTGATGTATTCCAGGGTAGATAAGACCCATGCGAGGTTGAAATTGCGGTCCACCCTTGATGATACCACATTTTGGGAAAGCAAAGATATGGTAAATTTAAAAGAAAACATCAGCTCTACTCATATCATTGTGGAAAAAAAGAACTGTCATGAAATGGTGTGAATACATCTTATAAACTTATGTTTTCTCATTACCATTTATTACACTACTTATATCGGTATAAAGTAGGCTTCGCCCTAATCAGTAAATCTTAAATAAGATTTATGCCCACCATAGCCTGCATATTGTCATGAAGAATTGATAATCTAATTTTTGCATAATGTGATGAACAGGTGCTCTTGTTGGGGTTGCTGAGGCGACTAGCTATGCAAAATACCATAAATCATACCCTCTTTTGTAATGAAAGGTCTACTTTTGTGGCTTCTAGGGTGACTGTTATTGCCAGTTATGAAAGCTAGTTTATGCGAGTCAAAGTAAAATCCATTTTTTCCATACTACTACTAGTTCGTTTAAGTTCCACAATTTCACATAGTCTCGCCTAAACTGGTCACATCAGCACCCTCAGGGGGACTCGGAAGATGACAGTCCATGCGTTGGTATCCAGTTTAATTGGATTCAAGCATGAAGAAAGGTTGGCCTTTTATTTCGACCAAAAATTTGTCCCTAAGCAATCGGTGAATGTATCCCACCGGAGAAACGAAAACTACCAAAGTGTCCTTAGCTTATCGTCCTGCGACTCTACTGGAGCCGTGTTGTGCTGTCGTCTGTCTTGCAGCGGCAAACACAAAAACTCTTCAAATTCACGAAAGTCTAATTTGCATAAACACAAATAAGGACCATTCCCTCTTTTGTACAGCTCAATTGGGTGAATTGTTCCACGGCCCGTGCACACATCCACCACGCCTTGGCAACTGAAATGATTGGATTCAGCTGGTTGCCCATGGGAAGCCTTAGTCCACCAATCAGCTGGACGCCATCGGTTGTCCAATCAGCGAGCTCGGGTCGAGTGCGGTTGGACAGAAATGTGAGAGCAAATTGCTCGGCCGACGTCGGCAAAAGTAATGATGATGGCATGCACGTTGTCCTCTGCCTCTTCTCCGTCAGTCTCCAGCATTGCTTGATTTGCTACTCTTTCTTCTCTTTCTTCTCTTTCTTCTCCT